CCAAACGAAGCACCGCACAGCATCAGAGGCACGGCTACACAAGGAGAGGATAGTGGAGTACCTACAAACCCATGTCACACGCAGACTCACCCCGGAGCAGGAGGCGGAACTGGAGGTTCCTTTGTCGGTGGAGGAACTCGCTGCAGCGCTGAAGGCCACCAAGACTCACAGGGTTCCGGCGCCGGACGGTTTACCAGCCTCTTATCTACGGACATTCAGGGATATCCTCCTACCCCGCCTGGTCGCAGGGCTGAACTCCTTGCGGGAGGAAGGCCGCTTTCACGAAGATACACTGAGGGCAACGGTTACGATCCTCCCAAAGGAGGGCAAAGACCCCATGGACTGTGCCAGTTACAGACCAATTTCATTGCTCAATGCGGACCTTAAAGTGTTTGCTAAAGCACTGGCACTACGAATGGCCAGGACTTTGTCGGAGCTCGTACACCCGGATCAGGTCGGTTTCATACCCGGCCGCGAGGCCCGGGATAATACCATACGGGCCCTCAACTCTGTCCACGTAGCTCGAACCAGTGGGAGGGAGATGGTTCTCCTTTCTACTGACGCCGAGAAGGCGTTCGATAGAGTTGACTGGACTTACCTGCAGGAGACCCTGGGATGCATGGGGTTTGGACCAGGGCAGGGCATGGGTTGCGGCGCTGTACACGAAACCGACGGCGCGTATACGGGTGAACGGAGCACTCACGAGTGTGTTCCGGATTTCCAACGGCACGCGCCAGGGCTGCCCGCTGTCCCCCCTCCTGTTTGCCCTCACCCTGGAGCCCTTCCTGGAGGCGGTGAGGCGGGACGGGGGCATAGCGGGGTGCCTGGTAGGGGGGGAGGAGCATCGGGTGGCAGCATACGCCGATGACATGCTCTTCCTCCTCGAACAGCCAAGAATCTCTCTACCGAACCTACTAGAGGCTTTCCGACTTTATGGCGTAGTTTCTAACCTGAAGCTCAACCTGGCCAAGTCGGAACTGATGCCCCTCACACGAGACCCGGCCCTTCGTAGACACATCCAGGCGCACTTCCCCTTCCGGATTTGCTTGACCAAACTGCGGTACCTGGGCATCTGGCTACCGTGTGACCTAGCTCAAGCTTATTCCATGAATTATGTCCCCTTACTCACAACCCTACAACAAGATATGAAGCGCTGGGCCCCCCAATATATATCTTGGTTCGGACGCATAAATGCCATTAAAATGAATGTTATGCCCCGTATATTGTACCTGTTCCAGACGATCCCGGTCATTGTCCCACGGAACTTCTTCCAAACGTTGTCATCCGCCTTTAAGCAGTTCGTATGGAACCAGAGACCCGCTCGCATTCGGCAGTCGATCCTGGAACGCCCTAGAAGTGAGGGAAGCATGGGCTTGCCTTCAGTCCTTACTTACTACCGGGCTACACACTTGTCTCGTTTAGTCTATTGGCATGCAGCCCCTAGCGGGAAACGGTGGGTAGACATGGAAAAGCAACAGGCGGGGGGAGGTAAAATACCGTCCCAGCTGTGGCTGGGAGATGCCACGTTTCAGGAACTGCGAACGGGCAACCCGTTGGTGGATGCAACTCTGAAGGTCTGGTGTGGCATCCGGTACTCTCAACAACTCACGTCATCGCCAAATCCACTTATGCCCGTGACGCATAACCCAAGACTTGCAGGTGGACTCTCCCCGGGTGATCTGAGGAACTTTGGGGCCACGGATTGGACCTACCTGCATCAATGGTGTAATGGTCCGAACCTTAAACCGCTGGCCGCACTACTCCAAGACCGCAGACCCAGCGTTCTGGACAACTTCCGGTACTATCAGCTTACAACCTATGTAACCTCGCTAGCTGGGAAGGCGCACCTCCACCGCCCACTGTCCCACTTCGAACAAATCTGTGTCGCCAGACAGCATCTCATCCATGGCATAGCGCAACTATACTCCATGCTGCAGAGTGGTGGGGACCAGTCCCCCTTGGGGTTCACGGTACGGTGGGAAATGGGAGCAGGGGTCGAGCTATCTACTTCTGAATGGCAAAAGATCTTCCAATTGACGCACAGAGGGACCATCTGTTCCAAATTCCAGGAGTGCAACTACAAGATACTGTCGCGTTGGTATAGAACTCCGGACATCCTTCGTCATGTCCATGAGTCCATCTCAGGGGAGTGCTGGAGGTGTGGAGATGCGGATGGTACTGGGATCCATATCTGGTGGTCGTGCCCTCGCATTGAACCTTTTTGGAGAGCGATACACAAAGGTATTAAAGACGTTACTGGGACGGACATCCCTTTCCAGCCGCTGCCGATGCTACTGAACCACACGAGCATGCCTATTACCGCCTACAAAAGGGGCCTGGTGATACACCTTCTTACGGCAGCAAAATCTCTCATCCCCACGTTATGGTGAAGTCAGGTAGCCCCTTCACTCCGCCAATGGATAGATAGGGTGGAAATGATTTACAACATGGAATTGATGACTGCGTCTCTGCAGGGACGCTCGGATAAATGTGCTCTCACATGGTTTCCTTGGACGGAGTATACGGCCGGGGGGGCCACGGGGAGAGCCCGGACTGGGGAAGGTGGTGCACCTGCACCGGCACGGCTTTCCCCACCCACAACGAACTGACTGAGACCCGTAGTGCCTATATGCTGGGAGGGGGGCGCACTTCCCTATCCATATGACTACGACTTCCCTTCCCATTCCCCTCCACACTTCCCAGACAGACGACACATGGAGGCGTTTACCCGAGAGTAGGCTCACAAGTTCACTCACCCACTAACCTAGCATTCAGAGTGTTTGGGGAACAGGGCTGGGAGTAGAGAGCAATGAATGGAGCTAGTCCACGGCGGCACAGGGGGATAGCGGGTTGGTGGGGCTCTTGAACATCTTAGGAGCGGGTAGGTGGTGTACAGGTCGGAGGGGGTTGGAACAGAGGGCTGGAGGTTAACAAGGCCTCCAGGTTGTCCGGGGGGAGGTCCTCTGGCGCTTTCAGTTCCACGTGCTTGGTTCGCCCCGGGCCTCAGATTCAATAAATACAGTGGCACACGATTTGATCCCTAGGGGGCTCCGGCTACTTACGGTAGGAGAGGAGAGAGGGTACGGAGGCCTTGGAGGGCACCCTACAGCTGGTTGACTTCTCACACGAACCACTGCACCAGCGTGGAGGGTCAGTGGCTACCAATATGACTTTGGGCCATGGGCTAACCCACTAGGGGGCCGCCTAGAATACGGTGGCAGAGGCTATATGCAGTTTAGAATGCCCGTTCACGAGGTAGCATGGAAAGCCGCACTTCCCATGCCCCGCTCTGCGCATGTGTCCCATGTGTCCCCCGGTGGTCCCGGGATTGCGGCCTTGGTTGTCACTCAGATGTTTTTGCGCTGTCTAAGTTCTAGCTTTATTCTTTTGCTAAGACACCATCAAATATCCAGCTGTATTGGCGGCTTCTGTGGAGTATTGTGTCCTTCCTTCCTTGCCTATGTAAAGGTTGCTAAACATGTTTGAACGTGTGTGTTGTACTAAACGTGCTGTATTAAATAAATGGAAAAATAAAGATTGTCAAAAAAAAAAAATTCTCTAAAATGTACTCAACATCTCTTGAGTATAACAATGTCCTCTATGCCTCTGTGTATACCTCTGCAAAGTATAAATCTTAATGCTAATCTTAACTCTAATCCTACCATAGCAATATTGTTTTCCGCAGAGTGAGGGAATCCTTGCTGATTTTAGCAGAGGGAATCCCTTGCTGACATCACAGAGGAATTCCCCTATAGAGGGATTATTTCCCTCTCTGCTGGTAAATCAAATTGTGAGAAATTGTCACAATTATGATTCAAATTGCCCATGCAATTATGGTCACTCACAATGATCAGCACTGGCCAGCATGCACAGCCCAGCGCTAATCACTCTCTGCAGCTGATAATTACACTGCTGGGAGACGTGATTTGGGTCTCCTCAGACACTGTGGGTCTCCTCCTGTCAGAATGAATGCCAGAAGCTCACCTTTAGATAAAAGGACTATATGCAGGGGAGTACATGCATTTGAATTCAACTGTACTCTTCAGGTCTAGCTAGTCATGCCTAATTTATATTTAGCCTAGCCTGCCTATGTACCACATTTCTAATGCACAATAGTTAGACATGGTTGCCCAACATGTTTCTTTTTCTACACCTGACTTATTAAAGATTACTAACTTTCTGTGTTATATGTTATACTCCTCATGTCCAAATGGCCTATCTAGCCTTGCACCTTCAATGCAGTTCAGCAATCTATACATGCATTCCTAGACTGTAATAATCCTGTTACTATAAAAAAAAAAATGTGCATGATTATCGAGGCCATGTAAACATTTCTCATGTTTTATTTTGCACCTGGGAATCCTTTTGTGAGGAACCCCCCACCCTGCAGAAACAACTAAAATTATAAACAAAACAATAAAGAATTAAACCCCCCCACCAGCCACCTCCCTCAAAAACAAAGAGCAAAACACCAATTGCCTCTAATCAGAAGGTACTGGCTAAAATATAGGGCAGGACAACTGATTGATGGACAAGCTTACTGATGTTATCTATAATTATTTATTATTAAATTAAAATATAATTATTATAATTATATTTTTTTTTATTGCTTGGTTTTGCAGTTGTCTCCTGGTGATTAGGTTTTCCCTTTTTACATTTTTGTTTGTTTGTTTTTGTTTCTTGGATGCTTAGCGAACGCATGTCTTACTTGGTACCATCCTTGAATGTAAGCCTACTGGGTGAATACTTTGGATATAAAACCTATATCTTTATACCCTTCATGACACTGCTCACATTTTATAAAGAATTTAAATAAAGATTTTGAGGGAGAAAAAAAAGTGCTTTGTACTATCCTAACTGTAATGGAACTCCTGCACTTGTGACATCACAGGAAGTGGAACACTCATGAACCTGCTGCATGCTGTAACCTTAGGTTCTTGGCCAGTTTCAGTCGTGCGGTCTTGGTAATCTCAGCTGTTACTATGGCTCTTTCTGCAGAAATGTATGGTTGTGAACCAGTGGAGTTAAGTTCACCAACATCTTCAGAACCTGTGACTGTGCAGTATGTTCCTGAATTTTTATTTGGAGACATGTTTATGCAAACATCACAGGCGAATGCATTATCAGCTCGAAAGAATCGAAACATTGATGGACCACCCACGGTCAGCATCTTCGATGATCCACTTTATATTCCAACACCATTAAAGAAAAGAAAATCTTTTCTTTCTACTGTCCACCTGGATCCCTTCAGCAGGCAGGTCAGCATCATCAATGAGCCACCTTATGATCCAACACCATTAAAGAAAAGAAAGTCCTTTATTTCTACTGCCCACCTGGGCCCCTTCAGCAAGCAGGTCAGCATCATCGATGAGCCACCTTATGATCCAACACCATTAAAGAAAAGAAAGTCCTTTATTTCTACTGCCCACCTGGGCCCCTTCAGCAAGCAGGTCAGCATCATCGATGAGCCACCTTATGATCCAACACCATTAAAGAAAAGAAAGTCCTTTATTTCTACTGCCCACCTGGGCCCCTTCAGCAAGCAGGTCAGCATCATCGATGAGCCACCTTATGATCCAACACCATTAAAGAAAAGAAAATCCTTTCTTTCTACTGCCCACCTCGGCCCCTTCAGCAACCATGGTAAAAGACAGGCGCTGGATGACACTTGGGGAAAAGTATCTGACTCCACAGGAGTTGTAAATATTAAAGGAAAATATAGTCTGCCTAAGACCAGAATGCGCAAGCTTGCTGCAGGCTACAGCGCCTCCAGCAGTCCATCCAGTGTTACGCAACAGCCGCAGATTTGTAAAGAAGGTATCCTCTCAAGGGTGATTACATACCTGTTCCAATTGTAACAGTTTATAGTAGTTCATTGTTTAATTAAAATGTACATTGTATTAAAAAAAAAAAAAATGTTTTTATCAGGAAGTATTCATTTGAATAAACACAATACTTTAAGTAAGAAATAAATAAGTATTATGGAAAACATTTTATCTAATGTAATAGAAGACAGCTGAATGAATTCCATGTTTGTAAGGATTTATAGAAAGAAGCCTTTAGATATCATGCCTTTCTAATATTGAGTAAGTTAACTGATAGCCCTGAGTTCGGATGTACTAATTAAAAAAACAAAACTGAAAACAAATCTTAACTCATTTACAGTAAGCAATACCATGCAGCTATTTCCATGCTTTGCCGCATATTACTGTTGTGTTCCCTAACATTTCAAAACTTGTACATGAATTATGAGCTAAATTGGTTCAGTCACTGGCATGCCTCCCCTGACACTGGTGTCCCTGAAAGCGGGATCCTGGTGTGCAAACTGGATTTTTTCTTTTGTCTTCTATGTATATATGAGAGTACATAACCCTAAGTATGATTTAAGCAGAGGAAATCCCTTGCTGACATCACAGAGGGATTCCCTTACAGTGCAGCACACTCTGTGAGCAACCTACACTGTACACTATCAGCACAAGAGGGATTATTTCCCTCTCTGCTTGTAAATCAAATTGTGAGAAATTGTCACAATTATGATTCAAATTGCCCGTGCAATTACGGTCACTCACAATGATCAGCACTGGCCAGCATGCATAGCCCAGCGCTGATCACTCTCTGCAGCTGATAATTACACTGCTGGGAGACGTGATTTGGGTCTCCTCCTTTCAGAATGAATGCCAGAAGCTCACCTTTAGATAAAAGGACTATATGCAGGGGACTACAGTAGACTTTGTGTTCACAGAGTTGAGGTATCTGTAGCTGGGCTTTAGAGGAACAATACTAATTATTCCTTGGCCATTTCTGTGTTCATAGAATGGTATGGCAGACTCTGGTGATAAAGAGTCTATTTTAGGTATGGTAGGGCCTGTTGGAGAACATTCTATCTGTACTTATCTGTTTCTTACCTTTTTATACATTTTTAGGCTTGGATTTATTCCTCCTGCTTTTTTTATTTTTACTGAATCACAGTTACTCACTCTTGAGTCACACAGTTACTTGGGTTCTGAAGTCAATTATGTAATCTGCCACAGAATATGAGCCTTGCTTAATCCTCATGAGAAACATAGCAGCATTTCTCTCTCTAAACCACTATAATTATAACAAATTCATTGTTTAATTAAAAAAACTATATAGTAATTGCTCTCCAGTAAATGATTGGTCCAGGTTAAGCCTTTTCAGAGAGAAGGTTCATGATAAAACCACTCCTGGTTCTTTCAGTGTTAAAGAACAGAGGATACATCTCGAAATGGAACTCCACCTGATTGAGGAATCCCCTGAATATGTTGAGGTCTCCGGTGTACCTTGGTCGAGTAGTGAGATTAGTTAAATAAGATTAAAGAAGCCCCCTCTTCCCCCACTGGCATCTGAGGAGGAACAGGATTAGACTCTTGTTGCACATAAGCAATTCTTGACAAAAGGGTCTATAGAGTATGAGCAAGCTGATCCATCCTATGGTTTAACTTCTCTACTTTAGCCTGAAAAGATACATGTTAACCTATTTTTGCAGGTTAATGTCAGGATAGGTCATCACGCAGCACGCTGAGTAGTCACACTGGACAAGGAAAAATAGACACTTACATATTGCTGGACCTTAGAGTGGCCAAGGCTTAACGTACAAAGTACACAGTATAAGTAATGTCAAGATAAAAGCCAACGGTCAGAGATAATCGAGTTACACAGAATCGAATAACAAGTCAATGACCAGGAATACAGAACTCAGAATGGTTGAGACAAGCAAAAATCAATAAACCAGGAATCAAGCAGTAAAGGAACCGACTCTCAGATTACCAGGAAACAACAAGGCACATAGACCTGGGGTGTTTCCTTGCTAGCCATGCACCCAAAAACATACATTGGCTTCAGCTATGATGCAATTTTGTGAGCATGATGTCATAAAAAGAGGCAGTGCTACAGCATCTGGCATCATAAACGTTGGAAAAGGTGTCTCAGGGAGTGAAACTGATGTGCTGCCTACTTGGTGACATATGGGCACCAGGTGAGTTACGTAGTATTTATTTCTTCACTCATGTATCCATTAAGCGGGGGAATAGTGTTGTTCATCTTATTTGTTCAAGATACATTAGGTCAATATGGTGGACACTATGTGTAGAGGTTGAGGTAAAAGGCAGACTTTTCAGGTAGAGCAAGTCCTCTTCGATCAGCAGTACTTTGAATTACCCTCAATTTACACTGTATTTAAAAATGTCTTATTTATAGCACCATCTGCTGCGATATAGGTTTTCTATAGTAACAGTCTCTTCTGAACTTTTATTCTGTGCAAAGATACTTTGTTACTATGGCCTCATGTCACATACTCGACAATACTGTTAGAGTAATCTGTTAATTTGTATCCATGTTACTCTTTTTGCTTTCTCTGCTATAGTAAGTGAATAGGGATAGTTGTCTGATCTTGGAGGTTCCCTACACTCTAAGTATATCGAAGGCATGTATCCAATATAAGACTTTAGTAAATTCTCACCGTAAAGTACTCTTCTGGTGAATACTTACCTTCTGCTTCTCCTAAGAAAGGATATGCTCTAAGATTTTAGATACGCTCTGTGGTGGCCACCCTGAGAGGAAGAGGGGTCTCGCCACCTTTTCCCCTATTCAGAGCGATGCTATCATAATCCAAAGCACGATAATCCAAAACACGGTATAGCTGTTCCCTACAAACATGAGATGAGATGAGGGTAAGCAAGAATTGATTTATTGGAAGCCAAAACTGGCCTTATATACATATTCCAGAGGCATTCACCACTGGACCTGAGAGGGGACTACACTAAAAGCACACAAATAATTACATTCACTCTCCGGTCCAGAACATGCATAATAAAAACACCCTAAAATACATATTTTACAAGTAGGTACCCCCTCAAGTCCTATATTCCCGCATAGCCTTGATCTGAGCGCACAACATATTCAAAAAGTGCTCAGATCCCACGAACGCAGCTGAAATGCCACCAGGGTATAGTCTAGAGTAGACCGACCGCACACGAGGCACCTGCCCAAAAGAGTTCCATAGATTTAGGCTGTGCGGTCGGTCTCTTTTGGGAGTACCAAATACAATAAAACCAGGAATAAAACAGTTTGTGAGTACACTGGTCCCAAGTGTTCGGTGAATCCCGTATACCGAACCACCCAGTGTAACAAATAAGTCAAAATAAAAAGGATGACAATCCAGGGATAGGGGAATCCATCACACTCGCTATTTATTTTATAAGATAAATATTTGTTCCCTTCTCAGTCTTTTTTTCCTGTTATAATTGACTGTAATCTGTGGGTCAGGCCCTTGATAGGGAGGTGTAAAGTACTTTTTTCTCATTTCTTTTCTTTTTAAATATATTTATTTAATTATACTTAATTATTCTCATTTCTCCTAAGAATCTATATTCATTTGTTCAGCTTTTAATTAATAGAATATTTGGAGGTGGAAGTGGTTGAACCGATCCTTGTCCTTTCTCTTGTCCTTTTTCCACCTATTTTATACAATGGTTCTTTTTTACATGTCTGTCAGGATAGTCTAGCACCCAAACGCAGAACTGAAGTAACAAATAAAAAGAAATAAACAAAGAAACCCCAGAACGTATTACCAGACCTTAGAATGGCCGTATTTAACGTTAATATTGAATAGTACAGGACAGGCCGGGGTCAGGAGAAAAAGAGCGAACGCAGATGGTAGACAGGCTAAAAGTCATACATAAGTCACAAAAGTTAAATAACAAGCCAATGTAAAAATACACAAGAATCGATAGCAATAATGCACTTTCGGATAACCAAACTGGAAACCATGACAGGGCAATGAGAACTAGCAATGCAGGGTTTAAAGGGACACTATAGTCACCTGAACAACTTTAGCTTAATGAAGCAGTTTTGGTGTATAGAACATGCCACTGCAGCCTCACTGCTCAATCCTCTGCCATTTAGGAGTTAAATCCCTTTGTTTATGAACCCTAGTCACACCTCCCTGCATGTGACTTGCACAGCCTTCCATAAACACTTCCTGTAAAGAGAGCCCTATTTAGGCTTTCTTTATTGCAAGTTCTGTTTAATTAAGATTTTCTTATCCACTGCTATGTTAATAGCTTGCTAGACCCTGCAAGAGGCTCCTGTATGTGATTAAAGTTCAATTTAGAGATTGAGATACAATTATTTAAGGTAAATCACATCTGTTTGAAAGTGAAACCAGTTTTTTTTTTCATGCAGGCTCTGTCAGTCATAACCAGGGGAGGTGTGGCTAGGGCTGCATTAACAGAAACAAAGTGATTTAACTCCTAAATGACAGTGAATTGAGCAGTGAAATTGCAGGGGAATGATCTCTACACTAAAACTGCTTTATTTAGCTAAAGTAATTTAGGTGACTATAGTATTCCTTTAAATAACAAAATAAAGGCTCTGATTGGCCCACAGAAGTCATGTGATGTTGGACCGTGCGTGTGTGCGTCACGTGACAATCCATACACTTTCGCAAGTGTCAAAAAAGAATTGGACCTAAGAAGTCTTTAAAAGGCTCTGGTGCGGTGGTCAGAGACTCTAATACTTTCAGAGCTGGCCGCTGCTAGGTAAGATAATATTTTACCATCATGGGAGCACACCACAATGAGCCGTGACAATGGCCAACTCACTTTACTCACTAACTCACTTTACAAGGAAAGACAAGAATTATTATTCTTGTTATAAAATATCATGGCCGGGGAGAAATGCTTCTTTACAAATCCCTATATCAGTCATATGTCCTACCTTAGCTTGCACCAGGGACTGCTGTACGAAAGTAACAAATCAGTTTAAATATATCTGCATATTTGTAGCAAGTAAATTAGGCCTAATTATCTACTCATCCCATTAGGATCCATGGAGTGAA